TTGAGGGCAGAAAGTTACCGTTTTAAACAAAACCACACTATATTCCCATTGGCTTTTGCCAATGAATGCTTTAGTTGATGTTCAAAATAACAGCTTTCATTTCTATCATATAACTTATTTGTCTGTTCAAATAACATTTATAATCCTCATTAAATGTAGAATTTTTAAACTGAAAATTTGGCTTTGATAAGAAACTTCCTTCAAGCTTGGTAACCTTTCTTTTTTTTCTTCCCCATCCTTGCTCTGACTCTGTTATAATTCATATAAGGCGGTATGGTTCTATGCTAATATCCCAAATTCTAGTGCTTGACCAGCTGGTAATGGTCACTACTAAATTTAAGTGTTTTCTGTCGTGCAACTGGCATAAAGGGAATGAAACAGATAAGGACCTGAGCGGACAAAAGAAGTGAAAGGAGGACAAGACCTGGGAGCAACTATTGATCCCCATGCATAGACTGGGGGTTGAGATGGCTAGAAAGGGTCTCCTAACACTCTGTGGATTCTACCTGTACCAGGTTTTTGAGCATAATTGAATCCAATAGCAGGAAGAAAGAAATAATAGAATTTTGTGGGGATTTTATTCTGTATGTCCCTACTTAAATGATTACAGGAATTTCTGAAACTTGCTTCCAGCAGCTCAAAACTAATTATAACACCTTTTTGCTCCTCAAGATAATGTTAGCTGTAGTGCTGACTATCACAGCTTTTGTAACTTTAGGTGATGTTACTTTGACAGTATGCAAAGACTTCCTTTTCTTTCTGTGCAAAAATGAAATTTAAGTATTGCAAAGAAAGGTAAGCTATGGGGAAGGCTTATAATAAAACAAAAATTATTCACCTAGAGAGCACCAGAGGTCTTTCAGTGATAAGGTAGCCTATCAGCTAATTTACTTTCTCAAAAAGACAAGCAGCCTGCTCTGAAGAGGTCTTCATCATTTCCCAACCCTTAATTAACCACTTTAAACAGCATCCAGATGTGTGCTATAATTTCAGTTGACTTTTTGTTAATTACTGTGTCTACCTGGTGTTTTGCAGGCAAACATGAGCTCATTTTGCCTGTTCTCCAATCAGAAGTTGTATAGCTACGGTTAGCTCAGTGCATAGCTCAAATCGATTAGTCCCGCTAAGAGACAGGATGCATTAGCTGAGGTCCAGTTCTGCTCCAAAATGGGTGCATGGCTTCTCATCAGCTTCAGAGTTCAGTTAGAGCAAATCTGTATTTTGCTACAGAAAGTCATATAACAGAGCGTACCCTTGCAAAGCAACTAATTCCTAAAATTAATACGAAATACAAATCATAATTTCAGATGACCAGCAATAAATCTATCTTCATGATAGATTTAAACAAAGATATGTAATATTTCTGTTGTTATAATTCTATGAGGAGAAGTTTTATATCTGTGTATGTTTGGCACATTACATTTTGTCACATCACATTTTTTAAAACCAAATTTTTCCTTGAGTTAGAAGGCATTTTGATCATATATGCCGGAACAGCACAGTCTGTTCATCAGTTATGTAACTCTGCCTCAGGAACAGATTTTTGTACACAACCCTCCCTAAGACCCTGAGAGCCATGATTGCAAAACCAAGAGGACTTACTTTTTTTCCCTGCCATTTGCATTAAAATAATTAATTTTGAATTTCTATAGAGTCCTCTGTCTAGAAATTTTGTAGCTTATAGTCTGTTACAAAAAAACATAAATTAAGTCCACTGCAGCATGGCAGTACTGGAACATTGTGTCCACCTCATTTGGCAGATGAGGAACATGAGAAAATAACCACCATACCCATGGTTAAAGAATTTCTGTGTCAGAGTGAGAAGCAGACAGTGCTGCATTTCTAAGGAGAAAGTCTTGAGAGTCAATAAGTCTCATGGCTGTTAAATAATTCCCTGCCTTCATAAACATTATTTAATATATATTCTCCAGTTCAGGGGAAAAGATTTACTGCATTCTTTATAAGCGATGCAATAAAGAGGCAAGCTTTGGTCAGCTGAAATAATGTTTTAATTAATACCATACATCCCATATGCAAATACCATTAAGACAACCTCTGATAAATGGGCATATTTCCTGAATATGTACAAGTTAAATGAGCCTTGCTTCTAATGAAGGGATCCAAAATTAAAACAAGTGTAGGAGAGAGACTTGAATACAGAATTTTTATGTTTAAACGATTAAATGATTAGTATAGACTTAGTCACTGTTAGGTTGGTCATGTTTCTAAATATTCTAATTACATTTTCCCACTCAGTCTGCCAGCTACAAACATTTTTTTCACTTACAGATTTCTGCTGGCAGGACTGAGAATTTGGACTTGGGCCTTTGACAGCAAGAGAAACTCTAAGTTGTTAAAACTGTAAAAGCAGGTATCAATGTGATGAAGCCCCTTGTCCTCCTCCTTCTGCCCAGTCATATGCTCTAATCCAGAGGAGGTTGTTATGTGACTGTTCATATCCACAACTGTTTGGTAACCTCTGAAAGAGAAATTACTGGTTTCAAACTTGTTCCTACTTCCAAGGTTTCTGCAACATGAATTAATAAAAAAAAAAAAGGCAGAAAGGAAAAGAGAGAAAGGGATGAAGCCTGTAGGCTGAAGATATATAAAGCATGTTTGGTGTTGGCTATGTGTTTGTTTTGCAGTATTAAAAATAAACCCAAAAAGTTCAGCAGTAATGATAGGGTTTAAACTATTGTCTTAAGTATTTTGGCAAAGAGTAGACTAATCTCACATGAATTACTTTTCCCAGAAGATTCCTACTGTCTTGCACTGTGCCTGAACTTGATTGAATCCCTTTTACTGCTGGACGCCACCTGAACCTAAAGCGCAGTAGGACATAGGTCAGAACCGGTGATGTTTATGCAGAGGATAAGAGATAGGGAACAAGCCAGTGTGCGGAATGATTTTGACAGAAAACACTTGCAAGTTGCAAGGAGACATGGAGATCAGAGACTTGTGATAGGAGAGGGAAATTGGGTTTGGAATGGCTGAAGGATGAGGTTAGGACTACAGCTTGACTGGAAACTGCTTTGTGGGAAGGAAGGGAGACAGACCTTTCTCACCACACCAGGGAGGATGCAGAGTAAGACCATCTGGAGGAAGAAATGAGGACAAAGTTGGTGGCATCACTGAAGATGATTAAGAAACCAGAGCAAGGCAACAAGGACTGTTAACTTGGGAGGGTAAGAGTGTTGGTGATCAAACATGGGGGTAAGATGAGGCATGCAGGGGAGACAGAAGGGCAGATCTGGGACTGGCAAGATGATGCAATTGGCCCATTTTACCAAGAATAGCTATGTAAGGAGCTAGAACTGAGGGCTGGAAACCAGGTTTAGATAACCAGGTGTGGAGAATAAGGCTGGAAAATTATACTCATGTCCAGGGGCAGAGAGAGAATCAGAAGAGGGACAGATTGGAGAGAAAGGGGCAGAAGAGACCAAGCTTGGGGAAAAGAGTGGAAAGGAAATATGGAAAACAATTTCCATCCATTCACTGCAGAATTCTCAGAGGGAAGCCTACAGCTCCTGTGTAAATGATTAGCACAGACTGTTCTGCTGTAAACCAACAGTGGTGCAACTAATCCCCTCTCGGCTCAGACACTCACAAGCTGGGACAGAACAACATTATATAGAATGCAAAACCTAACAAAGTTCTCACGCTTTCTAACTTTTGATTATCTGTGGAACTTTAATTTGTCTCTTCCATTAATTATACTATTAATCTTCAATTATGACACCATATTTTTTTTCTGCAGGCTTTCTACTTATCATCACCTTAAATGCTTGACTTTGCCATCTTAGTAGTCTTCTCTTAATACAGTCCCCCTTCAATTTGTAATCAAATTATACTGTAATAATAAATGAAAAAAATTGAGGCATTGTTTTAGTTTCTTGTTAATTGCTTGTTTAATTATAATGCTCACTATTTTGCAAAATGCAGGTTCTGACAATGGATTCATAGTCATTACTACAAATTGGTCAGGTTTTACTGTAATTTCTTTGAGTGGACTCTCATGATTTAACTGAGAACCATGTGAAAATTCTCCCAATTAGTTGAAGTGTCTAGGCTCAGGATGAAATAATGTGACCTGATTTTTTTTAGCTCTGATCTCTCTGGAGTGTTTCAAAGTGTGTTGGGCGTATAGTGTAATCAATCAATAGCATGTATGACTGAATGATGGTTTGAGCTGGGCTGTTATTTTGTTATATTCCTTCCCTTATCATTAGTTTGTGCCTGTCCAGCACTTTAAAAATTTGAAGGACTCTACAAATGGTTAGCCCTGTAAAATTCCTTCTGGCAGGCATCAAATTGAACAAACTACAGGCTTCTCTGTAGTTCATTGGAATTCACTCTGTACAGCATGAGGAGCTGAAAATGGCACAAATGTAAGCATTTTCTTTTATCATTTTAATAAATTTTCTTGTCAATAGTTTCAGCAACTTTGACTGCAATGCTTTTGTGCTTCCTTGGTCACAAAGGAAACATCACAGACATACTGAAGATGGATATGACATAAGAGGAGCTTTCCTCAGGCTCAGACATATGTTTGCAAGAAAGCAGGAGCTTCCCTGAGACAAAATTTGTGGAGATAGTTGGATGTTGTATAACACCAGTGCTAAATACACACAAGCTTTGGAGCTACACAAAAAATGAGATTTCATGCACAGGGAATTCAGTTACTGAGCTTCCCCTCTCTCTTTGCTTTTTTTGTTTTTCTTCCAAATTAGGATGAAAAGTTGAAATGGTGATATTTGAGGGGTGGGGGTGGTGTAATAATTTCAAACAGTATTAGTCTGGAAATGTGAAAAAGCATTCCTCCATGGAAATTAATTTTTTACCTTTTTTTTTTTCCCTTAGTAAAAGTAGTCAATTTCTTCTAGGAAATCATCTGTTAAGATAAAATTTTATTTTATGCTGGAAAAATGTTGTCTAACATACACTGAGTATGGAATTTTTGTAAAATGTACCAACTCTGGTTTTGTATGTACTGCACACAGCTCACCATCAGCTATATTGAATCGCTGATGCCCACCAGTGAACGCCAAAAGCAACTGATGCGCCAGTATTGCTTTGTGTGTGACTGTCTTCTCTGCCGGAATCAAGAAAAGGTAGGCTGAGTGAAGAAATTCCTTGCTAATGAAACAGAATTTTCCAAGGCCTGTCAGCGGCTTCCCTTCCTTTATGTAATACTTATCTTTTGCTACTAATTGAATGGCCAGAGAAGAGAAGAAAGTGACCTCTGCCCTCAGTGCTGTTTATGTTGCTATGAAAGACAACCGTGAAGGAAAGAAAAGCAGGAAATGTTAACAACATGATAAGAAGAATTTCTTGCTAAAAGATGCATTACAGATCATTTTGAGATTCAAGGACCTCTGAACATGAGAGTTAACATGGCTTTAAGCTGAAAGGAAAGATTTTTTTTTTCTATTCAAAAGAATAATCTTGGAACTTTAACTGAACCCACTTGTCTGATGCTACAGGAAGGCTGTGCTTATCCTCATAATAATGTTAAATTAATTCTGACAAACACCTGCATCAGTAATTTTCAAGTACTGCCAGACATATTCAGGAGTTGTTAAAGAGATTAGTGAACCACCTTGGATGACTGTTTGTAGTTTTTATGCTCTCTCTCACAAGTTCTTGTAGTAGCAGGTCAGTAGTTGTAGTAGATAAAATTTTGTTCAGTGTGACATTTTATAGGGTTCAGCCTAGCCTGGTTTAATTATATTCTGGGTTGTTTCATATTTATACAGCCTAGCTAAAATAATTTTGGCTCCAAGCCTGATGAGACATAAAATGGAATATGCAAAATGACACTGGCTTCAATGCAGTTTATGCACTTTGTCTCTCTAAGTTATATGTACGCTTGTTCTTATTTTCACTAATTCCTGTTTTGGGTGAGTCACATGCCATAGCTAAACGTGTTCCCAGTAGATTAGAAATGGGTAAGAAAGGTATTGATGAAAATGTTATTCCAAGGAGCATGATATGATTAATGAAATAATTGCTGTACAGCAAAAAAGAAAAAAAAAAAGTTTAAACTCCATGTTGGGTAGGACAGTTTTGTGTGCAGTTTTGTTCAAGCCAAAGTACACCCATTGAATACATAATGTATCCTTTGATTCATCAGTAAGCAGTTCAAAGAACAGAACACGGAAAAGTTTCAGGCTTATGACATAATGCTAAATTACTTCCTATCCATGTGCAAAAGTTGTTGGCATTCTGTGCCTGATAAAGGTTGCTGCAATACTACTTTAAGAGGGAGTGAAAGGAAGTGAAGACCTCTTTTTGTCTTTCTTTAAGGATGCTCACTCAAGTGCCATGAAATCTTAGATTAATTTTGGGGAATGGCATCCCCACAGATGCAGTGACTATTAAGAAAAATAAGCAGGCTGAAGAGTCTTTAAGGATCGCTTAACAGTTTGTGAAAGGGTAGATAAGTGGTGTAAAGACCATTCAGCATGTGGAATGTTTTAAGAAACAAGATCCACAGGCTGGAGTACACTTCGTTGTAAAAGTCAACATACAACATCAAAAAATACTGTAGTGAAGCTATATGAGCGTATATTGATGAAAACAATAGTCTTATACATAGGTTAAAAATAATTAGTTATTTTTTCTCTTTGAAATTTTTAACTGGTTTGAGTTCATATTCTGTAGGTCTTTTTTGCCCATTGGCAAAATTCCCTGTGGGGATGCAAGATATTTGGAAAGGCCTTTTTGACTGCATTCTGAAATTCTGTAGTTTCCTCATTGTTACCACGTAAAGAGGTCTGTGAAGGGCTAGGAACCTCATGTCAGCTTTGTCTGTTGACATCTATGAAGAAGACATCTTTATCCTCAGCCTCAGTCTAGGATGATTAGATATAATCTGCAGCAGTCCTTGCAGTACTGCATTTCATTTTTCTGTGACAGAGATTTTATAAATACAACTGTTTACATGACTAACTTGGATTTTTTTTTTCATTGATCTCAGTTACTGTTGGTAAGCTGAGAGGCATGTAATTGCAGCTACAGTGGGACATAATATTTTTGGAAATTATGGTTTTTTAAATTAGAGAATGGCTGCATTTAGATGCTTAAAAGTCATCAGTTCACAAAATTATTCAATAATACCCCTGCTGAAATACCCCTGATGCTGAGGCAAATTTCCAAGACATCTTGGAATATTTTTAAAAGGCAAAATTTTGTCAACAGAATAGGCAACCATTGCAACTTTGAGTCAGCAAGGGTGGCAGATTCAACACTGATTCAATGCATATAATCAGCTAGCAGTAAATTTGCATGTTACAACATTGCTTTGCAAATACAATGGCTTAGTCAACAGCAATCCACCTCATAAATATTTGTTATAGGTAAAAACACAAATTGCAGTTTGGCTAAGAAATGCTTTATGCCTTCAGCTAAGTTTTGGGGGATTTTTTCAGCTGTAGTCATCTCATCAAAAAGCTACAATCCTTCTTCTAACAAAAACTTACAGACCGTAGCTTTTTGTTGCTCCCAAATTCCAGTCTTGTTGAGTGTGCGTGCCAGCTGCTGGGCACATACTAGGGACCAGTGAAAGCAGAGGAATCATTCCTGAGATGCGCACATCAATTTACAGTAAAATTGTAAGTCAAGTCATTTCCATTGCAGCGTTTAGTCTACATCTTTTGCAATGTTTAAAAATGATCTTGAGAATCCTGTGGGAAAACCACATTAAAGTTTATATGAAGGACATTTAGGCCTTATGAGTATTAGTACTTTGTTGCATGTATGCTTATTTATTCATATTTAGAAAAATACTTTGCAAATTTCATATCAAAGAAATTAATGTCTCCTGCTGTATTTTCTAAAGGCTTGCTCATTTAGTCTTACGTGCCCAAGTGAAGAAGGAAGTTCAAGTTATCAAGTTTCTGTTCTCAAGTCAGTTACTGACTTCTTAAGTGACCTTGGGTAATTAATTTTATTCAAAAGCAACCTTTATGTTTTCTAAGATCCTGCCCTTATTTTTCATAATTAGTGAGAAGCTACCATTTCAATTGGAGCTGAACAGATTTTTGACTAAAATCTAAATCAGTCTGTCTAAATCAGGGACTGGTTTTGTGAATGTTCTGTGAAGCTTTGTTTTGCTTGATCTCTCCAAATTCATCATGAAGATGGCTATTCGTACTTCTGCTGAGTATTCTGGTGTCCAAAGGATAATAAAGAAAGATGCTGCGTTTTCTAAGGTCTTTTAGCTTTAAGTGCTATATTTCTTTCAATGAGAATAATTCTTTGAAGTGGAATGGTTTGAGGTTTGGTTGTGTGGTCTCTGCAGTTCCCATTGCCATGCAATATCTTAGCACCACATAAAAAAAAAAAAAAAAAGGTCATATTTAACCTCAGAAACATCTACAGGAGCAAATAACAGATTTAGCTTACAAAATGCTACTAATTTCTCCTAACTGCAGTTAGTCATTTAATCTAAGCCAGTTTTTAGCCTCCCTCCATACCCAAAGAAAAGACAAGCAGCTCCTTCATACTGTCTTGCAATAGAAATCTATGAAACCTGGAATGGATATAAGAAGTTAAAGGAATGACTTCCAGTACTACTTCAAGTGCTTACCCACACTTTAGACAGATACAGTTGAGTCAGATAAATTATGCTGCTCCAGGAAGTATATATAAACACAAAATCAAGAATCACATGATTACGTTTCTGTGCTAGCTGACGTGGATAGCAGAGTGACATTGCAACTATGTAGGTTTCAGCACGCTAACATCCAGATTGTCAGTAAAATTCGTTTATGCAGATCACTGCAAGCATTTGTCTCTGGCTGCTGCTGTCGAGAAATCTTACAGCCAGTGGCACTGCTTCTTCACTGTTATTTGTGCTAAAATTGATCAAACTCACATAGTGGTTACATCATACTGCAATCACACTGTTTAGCTATGCATACAATCAAGACTAATGGCTCAAAGTGCTCTTTTGCCATTCTAGGTTACAAGATTCTGCAAGGGCTTTTTCTGACATTTCAGGTCTCTGATGAACTATGATTTAAGAGGCAACTTATCTGGGAAGAATTATTCTTTATTTCTCACTTAGTGTAATATTTCATGTCACAGCTGTATCAAACAGCAAAATTCACACTGACACCAACAATGGCTTTAAAATTCAGTCACTTGGTCTTTTTAGCTAGGTATGGCAACTCCATACAATCTCTAACCACAGCCTAAGTATACACAGTTCCCTTGCACAGGTGTCTGGATCTGAGACTGTAATAAGGCAAAGGCTGTGTTTTCAGGTATACTGAAACAGGCTGCAGCCCGACCACAAGGGACCCTGTTGAAGTTGTTGAAGTTGAGCATCAATATCAACGCCAGTGTCAGCAGACACAGCCCTAGACCAAATGGAAGGGTCCATGGCTGTGCAGTCAAGATTGCATTGCATATCATGAGAGCAAATGTTCCTCACTGGTCACTGCTGATGAAAGGACTTCAAAGTGAATCTCTGCTCGCTATACAATAGTACATTTTTATCTGCCTCTCCAACTGTGAGCACAGCCATGGAGTAATCCAGGTGCATAGCTGTCATCAAAGATGAGAAAATCTGGAGGCAAACAGTGGCAACTAGCTGGACCTGTGGATCTCAAATAATTTTTGGTGCCTGGTCCTCAATGTCAGCTACATTTTGATTCTAAGAGGTCATACCACAATTCTGGCCAGTCTCTTTTAGCAACTGGTCAAGCAGCCTGGCTGCTGATAGGACAAGGGAAGAGTAGCAAGTGCTGACACATCAGTGTAAACTGGTTAAGATAAGATTAAAGTGAAACTTTTGGCAGTACAGTTACTGCCAATTTAAGTGGCACTATCTACAATTCTAAACAGTACTTTTAATGGATTTTGTCCCAAGTTGAAAAAAAAAAAAAATCAGTAACTAAAAGAGGGAAAAACCCACATCTTTCTAAAAGTCACTCATAGAATATTTCCTGACTGTCAGTACTTCAAGTTATTGCTGCTGTAATGTCTTCGGTTCATTGTATCTCTGACAGCTTTATACGTTATTATTTGCTCCATTTTTAAGATCAATCTCCACTGTAATTTGGAAATGTGTGCCTTCCTAAAAGCTGAAATCTTGGCAACGTAT